TATTCCTTTAAAGCTCTGCACTGGATTTTAAGCAGTGTTGAATCTCTGCTCTCCACTCTTCATTTGGAATTTAGAGCCTTGATTTCTAAATTAAATGGAAACCTTCTTTCATCTGAAAAGTTTCTTTTTTACCAACTGAACCTCAGCCCAGTCCCTTTTTTCCTTCGGTGACATGAAAAGCATAGTTTTCCCCCTGTGGTTCATGGGCAGCTTAACAGAAGAAAAGCCACAACTGCAGCTCTGTTCTGTATAGTGCTCCCTCCAGCTGCAATCCAAGACTTCTGAATAGAACTTTGAAATGTGCCTTGCTTCTTATTTCTTTAAAGGGAGCTATCATTGGTTCCCTGTTAAATCCAAGGTAGAGTTTAAAACCCTCCTTCTTATGTATAAAGTCCTAAATAAGTGTGCTCCATCTTACATCAGAGATGTTGTTGTTGCTGACAGAGCAATTTGCTCTCAATCTGTTGGTTTACCACGGATTTTATTCTTTAAAACCAACTACCAGTTTTAGTCTAAGAGACAGACACCCTGTCTACTTTTATTAACTTCCTTTTTTGATAAGGCTTACAGTTAGAGTGACTCAGGTTATCCTGTAGTTATGCTGCTATAGGTTTAGACTGCTGGAGGACATAGGGACCACTTCTCATAATTCCGCTTCCTCACTCTTCATGTTCTCTCTGCTTTTTCTCATCACAGTAACTTTATCTGACCTATTCCTCTTTGGCTTTGACTCTCTTCTGGAGAGTAATATTAGCTGATCTGCTGTCATCAATCTGTTTGATAGAGTTGGGGCTGTTGTTTAGTGCTAAGTCCTGTACCTCTCCTAGACATAGCAATGGGCTCAGCTTTTACTTCTCCAACTGTATGTGCTCTTTGTCATCCCGTTTGCCATGAAAACTGGCTCAGAGCTCAGCTGCTTAACTGTTTTTATTTCCCAGATAGATGTTCTTCTCAAAGCCCCTGTTGGTCTCGGCAGAAGGCCATCATATTGGGCCTGGCTCAGTTGGAGGTTTCTTCCTTTTAAAAGGGAGTTTTTCCTCTCCACTGTTGCTGCATGCAGCCTGATGACAGTGGCCTGATTTTTAATTGCATGATTTTCTATTCACATTCTCTGAGATTTCATAATTGGATGAGAAAATCTACATCAGTGAGTTTAATCAATGAACAAATTCAAACTTCATGGTTTCTAATGCTTTAACTTGGCCTTGTGTCTGCAATGTAACCAATTGAGAGCAGATTAAACAACACTGAATTGACGTCTTTGTTACTATCTACCTCTGTCATGTACTAAAGTCTGCCCTGGTGAACAGAATGGGAATATCCTACTTATTCTACTTACAGCAACACCAAAAAAACAATAAATAAATCACGCCTACGGATCAGAGGACCTAATAATAAGCTGTATTATCAGATTAAACACTAGTTAAAGGTCAGTTATTTATATTTCACTTTTTACCTAAAATAACATCACATCCAGTCATCAGCTGAATTCATAAAGTTCCAACTTTTCCAGCATCATATATGCTCATATAGTGCATTTTCTATTAAGTAAAATCATAAGTAAAGGTTAAATTTCTACAGTTTGGCTCTGAGAGGAATAAACAAAGAGACGACACAAGGTAGGAGAGTGGGAGATTAATCATAATGACAAGAAGAAAAGTCAATGGTGAAATGGGAGGAATCAGGCGTTGAAAATAGAGATTAAAGGAAGGAGAGAAAGGAGCAGGAAAATTGTATCAGAGCGATAACTCACGGTGACTGAATGCTGGTGACGGACGACCTGCGAGAGAGCGCATCTCGATTTTGCTTTACAAAACTGTACATGCAGAACACAAACAAAAGGAAAAAAAATGAGACAAATGTGGGAGGGACAGGTGGACGTAATGTTAGCCGTTCGATGGCATCCACCTGTCCCCACTCCGTGTTTCACAGTGTTTCTACGAAGCTGCTTTTGAAAACACAACAACAACAACCTGAGTGACATCAGGAACGATGTGACAAAAAAAGATTTAAAAAATCAGGAGTTTCATTCTAAAGAAGAAGAAATAGAAAATTTAAAAATTAAGTGAGGGCACCCCACACTTAACTGTTTTCGCTTTGCTATTAAAGCAAAGCTTTACTCAGAGGCTAAATGATCATTGACCTAACTCATCTCATATGTAAGAAAGTTGTTCATATCAAAAGGTTTAGTATCAGACTAAGATACCGAGTGTGAAAAGAAATCTGTTTTTAGATAATAACTGTGGATAAATTAGTAGACATCTTGCAATCTAAAAGTCGAGCAATAAACGACACTTAATGGGGTAACTACTAGGGATGCACGATATAATCGGCCCCCTATCGGTATCGGCCTTAAAACTGAATATCGGACATCTGCCACC